GCCAATTCACAACTGGTCCTATCATCCTCGAGATGGGATGCCCTCAGGCCCAAGCAACCATCGAGTTGGAATTCCCCTACCTGTTGGCTCACACACAAAGCAGTAAAGCCTCAACCACCAACCAAATATGTACACATACAATAGATAAATATATAAACAGTCTACAGACAGTCAGGTAGATCTATAGATCACTAAGCATAACATCATCTTGTATACTAGGATACCGATCTAACAGATCACTACAACACGATAACATACTAGCGTACTCTCATGTTGACCACCAGCGAGGTGGTTGACTTCATACGCAGGGCATACTCCGAGGACACGGGGCGTACTCCCAAAAGCCTCAAAATTCAATAAGTGCTTAATGGCTTAAGCTCTCATGTCCATTTTTCCGATCCATGGCTAAAATACTCTCAAGAGTCATAAAGTCTCCAACTTTATGACTTTTCATTTCCATTAAGAGCTTATCTCTACTTCTTAATCCATTAAGACCTTCTAAATGATACATGGAGCAAACTCAACCACCTGGAATCCATTTTTATGACTTAAGACCCTCCCAAGGGTCTGAAAGGACAGCTCAATGGGCCAGGAATATGCTATGTTCACGAATCATCATTTTAGGACCAAAAAGTGACTTAAGAGAACCAAAAAGGTAGATCTACAAGATGGAGTTGGAAAGATGCAAGTTGTATACCTTCAAGATGATGCACACCAACTAGAAATCCCAGATCCAAACTGCCCTCAACTCCAAGATCTTCTCACCACCTTTTTCTTTCTTCAAAGCCACTCCAAAACTCACTTTAAGGCTCAAAATTGCTCCCATTTTCTCTAAGGTTGCTTGAAGGTCGAAGAAACAGAAGGATGCTAGGTAAGAAGAGGGCGTGTGTCCATAAAGTTGCTTAAATATGAGCTAAAGCCCTAAACTTAGGGTTTATATGCCATCCACGTACGCCTCATGTATGAAGTGTATGCCCAACGTACTAAGGTGTGCCTTAGTACACTTAGCGTACACACACGTACGCATGGCGTAATCAAACACTCCCAATTTATCAAATTGCCACTATGGGCCCTTTTTAACACTTTTTTTACACTTAGGGACCAACAATGCAGTATAATTCATTTATATGATCAAATTTAGAAGTACATCATCTTCGGGATGTTACAGTTCTCCCCCATTTGAACTAGACTTTGTCCTCGAAGTTGGCTGCAGAAAATAACTCAAGATAATGCTCCTGCATCTTAGCTTCCGGCTCCCAGGTATACTCGGAGCCTCTCCGATGCTGCCATTGTACCTTCACCAAAGGTATCTCCTTGTTGCGCAGGACCTTCATAATTTTTCTAGAATAGCTATCGGCCTCTCGACATATTTCAGGCGCTCGTCGACCTGAATATCATCCAACATAACTACTATCTCGCTTCCAACACATACTTCCGCAACTGAGATACATTGAAAGTGTTGTGGATCTGACTGAGCTCGCTTGGAAAATTCAACCTGTAAGTCACCTTGCACACCTTGGCAATCAACCGAAAAGGTCCAATGAACAGGGGACCCAATTTCCCCTCTTCCTGAAGCGTATCACACCCTTCCACGGTGAGACCTTCAGGAGCACCATATCACAAACCTGAAACTCCAACTATGATCGGCGTCGGTCGATATAGCTCTTCTGTCGACTATAAGCGGTCCCCAGTCACAACCTAATGTGCTAGATAATCTCTATGGTCTGAAGGACTACTTCGGTCCTGCCTGTAATCTTGTGACCAACCTTTCCCCAAAAAACTGGGGTATGACACCTTCGACCATACAACAGCTCCAAAGACGGAGCACCAATGCTGGAGTGATAACTATTATTATAGGAGAACTCTACAAGAGGTAGGTAGGAATACTAACTCCTACCAAAATCAATAACACAGGCCCGCAACATATCTTCTAGGGTATGTATAGTCCGCTCACTCGGGTCGTCGGTTTGCGGATGATATGCAGTGCTGAAATTTAACCTTGTGCCCAGTTCCTCGTGGAGTTTCTGCTAGAATCAGGAAGTAAGCTGAACATCTCGGTCAGAAACAATGGAAACAGGAAACCCATGGCGAGCAACGATATCTGGGACATAAAGACCAACCAACTTTTTGGCCGAAGAACTCTCCCGAATAGCCAAAAAGTGGGCACTCTTGGTCAATCGATCCACGATGACCAATATAACATCAAAACCCTTTGCCGTCTTTGGCAACTTGGTGATAAAATCCATGGTGATATGCTGCCATTTCCACATGGGAACCTCCAGAGGCTGTAGCTTGCCATGCGACCTCTGATGCTCGGACTTGACCATCTTGCCGGTCAAGCACCTTTCGACATACTATGATATCTCTCTCTTTCTCTTTCTCTTTCTCTCTCTCTCTCTCTCTCTCTCTCTCTCTCTCTTCATACACGACCACCAGTAACTCAATCTCAAGTCCCGATACCTCTTGGTGGCTCCAACACTGTCTGCCTGATCCCACCAGAAACTGAAACCCAAACCCGACATACCGAGTCAATAGCCCTTGACTATTCGTGATAAAACTGTCGATCTCACCCCTGATCCTTTCCTGTTTCCAGTTGTCCTTCCGAACTCCCTTTGCCCGAGCCTCTCTGATCAATCCCAGAAGCGGAGAATCAACAGATATCCTCATACACATCTCCCCAACCGTAGATCCAGCCGACTTGCGACTCAAAGCATCCACTGCCACATTCGCTTTACCCGGATGATAAAGGATCTCGCAATCATAATCCTTAAATACGTCTAGCCACCTGCGCTGCCTCATGTTCAGGTTTGACTGATCCATCAAATATCTCAAACTCTTGTGATCCTTATAGACAGTACAACGGACCCAATATAAATAATGTCTCCAAATCTTGAGGGCAAACACCATTGCCCCCCAACTCCAGGTCATGTGTGGGATATCGCGTCTCATGCGGCTTCAGCTGCTGTAAAGCATAAGCAATCACTTGTCCTCTCTGCATGAGGACCGCCCCCAAACCTGTGATGGATGCTTCATAGTATACCACAAAATCCTCTACCCCCTTCCGGGAGGGTCAATACCGGGGCCTCACATAACCTCTGTTGAAGAGTCTTGAACGCAGACTACTGCTCAGGGCCCTACCGGAAATCTACTCCTTCCTTATCATACGAGGATTTGTAGGAACAATAAGTAGGAAGATGTTTAATTTCTCTTGTTTTTATTACTTGCAAGCTTCATTGTCCGCTACACAAAGCTATAATTGTTTATTGTGATAATATTAGTGTTATTTGTTTAATGGAAATTTGATTTAACATCAACACACAATGCATATTGAAATAGACATCTATTTTGTCCGGGAAAACTTACAAAAGGTGAGGTATGATTCTACATGTTCCATCTTAATATCAAATTATCGGCATCTTCACCAAATGCGTTCCAGCTGTTCTTTTTGACGATTTTCACAACAATCTTTTCATTTGTCAACGTCCAACTTCAATTGCTTCGGACTATTAGATTAGTATTATTCTTGATTAGTTTGAACTATAGTCAATCTATACTTCCTTATAGATATTGTGTATATAAACCAAATTCGGAGACCAAATAACATCAAGAACTTACCACTTCTATCAGAAAGTATCTCTATAAATGGACAATTAACGGTGAAAAAGCAAATTAAATCAACGATACAAACAAACTCATATGAAACCTTGTAATATAGTGGGAAAAAAAAATCAACAATTGGAAAAGAACAAAGGAATTAAAAAAAATATATCAACAGTTGAAAAAAAAAATGAAAAATCAAGAAAACTGGGGGCTCGTCCTATTTTTGGTGGAAAAAAAGGTAAAAATGAGAAAAAAAAAAGTGACTATTTGATTACACTCCATTTCCAATTTCCTCATTAAGCCGTTAAGACACACTTAACCAATTAAGTTGAAAAGAAAAGATTATACAGTTTATTCATGTCGCCATGTTGTATCTGCTAAATTTGATTAAATAAAAAAAGGGACGACACCTTAGAGGGTTATTAAACAATGAACTTGTAGCTATCTGATGGAATTACAGTTGTCAATGGAAATTCGGCCGCTTTCCTTTCTGTTTTCTGTATTTTTTGGAAAAACCCAGTTAATTACCATTATTGTGCAAAACAATTCATATTGCTACGAGAATGTAATGGCTGCTTAATTATAGGTTTCTGCTAGCCCATTGAAGCTTCCTGATTCCACGTTATAGATTTTCATCTTTCCTGTTATCTTCATGTGAAAAAAAACGTTTTTACTTTTTTACTACTGCCGTTCTCTTCTTCGCTGTTTCAATTAATTTAGGGATGTAAGACTAGCATTTTAGAAAGGAGATACATTTGATGGAAGTGGAAGTGAAGGGGATATATCCCCCGTTCAAAAAAAAGATATGAATGCAAGTGGAAGTGCGACAGGGGTGACGTAGATGCCTGACATCACCAGCTCAAATCAGGCAATCCAATAGAAGGTTTTGATTTATGTTTTTGTGTTTTAGGGTTTATTGGAGATTAATTTCAAGGGTCGTTGGTGAAGGAAAAGGAGACACTACAGGGCGCACCTAAGAATTTTCCGAAGAGGGGGAAAAAAAATTTATAACTTTTAAGGGGGGCAAATTTTTTTGATGAGTAAAAATATATAATTTTGAAGGGTTATATTTTAACCCTGCACTACAGCAAAATGTTCAAACTTATTAACTTAACCTTCTATAAGCAAAAAAAACTTCTATACCATATCCATAAAAAAGTTATTTTGCACAAGGACAAAAATTGTAAATTACTCAAAAACTAATATGTCATTATCTTCAGTGGAAAGCATCGTGGAAAGCGAATTACAAAAATCAAAAGTTGTGGTGTTCCATTTAAGTAAATGGCTAGTGGGGTATCACTTTGCATGATTGAACATTTTCCTTGTGACTATAAGTACCACACCCACTTGATTGTTTTTTATATAAGATAGGGAGACCAATCCTCGTAAATCCAATTCCAATGGCTTCCAGTTCTTCCTCTAGTATTATGGCTGATGCTAGCAAGTTTGATGTTTTTCTGAGCTTTAGAGGCGAAGATACTCGTTATAATTTTACGGATCATCTCTACAAAAGATTAATGACAGCAGGAATCTTTACTTTTAGGGATGAAGAAGATATCAAGAGAGGTGAAGAAGTGAAGCCCGAGATTGAAAAAGCAATTAAAGAATCTAAAGCTTCAATAGTTGTCTTGTCACAAAACTATGCAACTTCCACTTGGTGCCTAGACGAGCTTGTGTTGATCCTCCAAAAAAGGAAGGAAGGCAATCACTTTGTTCTACCTGTCTTCTATCACGTCGATCCTTCTAATGTTGGGAAACAAAATAAAACTTTCGCACTCCAAGTCAAAGAATCCTCTTTAAGGTGGACAGATCAGAACGTGAAACTGTGGAAGGAAGCTCTTATGGAGGTTGCTGGTTTGGCCGGCGAGGTTCTGTCCAGGTATGCCTCTTTGTCTCTTCTTTTAATTACATCATTACTGAAATATGTTTTAGAGTAAATTACAGAAATGGTCCCTGTGGTTATTTTATTTTATTTTTTATTTTTTATTTTTTATTTTTACTTTTTCCCAGCTTTTTTAATTGTAATGCTAACCATCCCTGTGATTTCATTAATTTGATTTAGGGTTTAGTCCATAGCAAACATAAAATAACAAAATTTCCTACGATATTTCTTTTAAAAATGATTTAGGTTAAAGAACAACCCATTTCTCAATCAACGGCACAACCATCTCCGACATCTTCTCCAGTTAGCTTCTCTGCCAATCATATCCGGTCATTTTTGCAAATCACCACAAAGAAAAAGAAAAGAAAAGAAGTAGTGAAACATCGATTGGAACCTCAATTGAACCAAAGTTTACCCCAACAAATAAAATTTAGAAACACTAAAAAAAAAAACTCAAACCAGGGCCGGTCCAAACATATTTTGGGGGCAGGACGAAAAAAAAAAGTCCCAAAAAGTCAAAAATATAATACAACTTCAAAAATAGATATACCGACTACAAAAATCAATAATAATATTATCAAAAAACGTAAAATATCAAAAGAACATTTAAAAAAGCAACTAATTTAAATAAAAAGGCTTTTTGTAGTTCTTTTAGATACAAAATCATTAAAGATACTATCAAAATCAATTTTATCTAAAGATAATCAAAATCAATTTTATCTAATATATCTTTTTCTATATATAGTATTGCCAAACCATTAAACTTTTCTTATGATATTGATAACCTTATGTAATTCTTTAATAACTTTAGTTTTTTAAAAATTTTTTGGCACTTCTCTCTTCAATGCAAAAGTTACAAGAATTGTTAATAAATAAGATGCTATATGCAATAAATTAGGAATTTAAAGCATTTAATTATACAATTATTTACAAAAATATACAAACATTTTACCTTATCGAGTGAAAATGTGAAACTTGAAGCATTAAGTTTAACTATTTTGGGTGAAAATGACTTTAGAAATCTGATATACAAGCAAATATCATAAACACAAATAAGAAATCAGTTCAGAAAGCTTCTAGTCTATTTAGAATTCAGAAAAAACAAAACAAAAATTAATTCATAAATCAGAAACACAAATCAAAAAGCAGTTAAAAAAACTCCTAATCCATTTAGAAATCAGAAACCAGTTAAGAAAGTCTGAATACATTCAGAAATTAGAAACACAAATCAGAAATCAATTCGAAAACTTCTAATCTATTAAGAATTAGCAAGACAAATCAGAAATCAGTTCGGTAACTGCTAATCTATTCAGAAACCAGGAGCACAAAACAGAAAATAAGTTCAAAAAGTCCTAACAAATTAAAAAATCATAAACATAAACCACAAATCTGTTGAGTGTGAAGCCATTGGGTTAGTCAAAAGAAGTGGCAGGAAACAAGGACTCTCATGTGAACATGGAAAAATTGTTACGGCTGCAGAATTTCAACAATGGTGGCCTTATCAATTTCACATGTATGTGAATGGAAGAAAAGGCTTACGACTCAAAATATTATAAATAGGCTTCTTCCTTTCATTTGTAAAACTTGTATCTAGTGTAACAAAGAAAGAGTGCAGATTAGCACCAAGAAATATAAACTCCAAGTTACCCTCGTGTGGACGTAGGTCAGAAATAGACCGAACCACCTTAAATCCTTGTGTTCTTGTTTTTCGTGAGCTGTGTGTGTGTTTAGAGTCGTGTGTTAAGTGTCTCGATCCTAACAAGTGGTATCTGAGCGTTGGTTTAGCTCCAGAAGGTGATTTTCAGTCTTTTGGTCGAAATTTGTTTTCGTCAAAAACGATTTTGGTGTATACCGTTGGAAAGGTCTCGTTCCGAAGATTCCGAAAATATTTTTTTCTGAATTTTTTCGACCACCGGAAGACGTCCAAATCGCCGGTCAAAGGTTCGCCGGAATAGTGACCGGGAAAACCAGTTCGCCGGAGAAGACGACACTGTAGCGCCGGAGCCTTGCCGGAGAGAGACGACACTGTACGCCGGAGCCTTGCCGGAGAAGACGACACTGTAGCGACACTGTAGCGTCACTGTAGCAGAATTTGAAAAACTCAGATTTGGTCCCTGAAGTTTCAGAAAATTGCAAAGACCGGTCCTGAAGTTCCAGAAAATTGCAAGACAGGTCCCTGAAGTTTCAGAAAATTGCAAGACAGGTCCCTGTTCTTTCAGAAAATTGCAAAAATGGCAGAAGATGGTAAAATCAAAATTGACAAGTTTGATGGAACCGATTATGGATTTTGGAAGATGCAAATTGAAGATATGTTGTATCAGAAAAGTTTGCATTTGCCTATGTTGGGCGAACAACCGGATGACATGTATGATGAAGAATGGAAGTTGTTGGATCGACAAGCCTTGGGTGTAGTTAGGCTTTCATTGGCAAAGAGTGTTGCGTATAACATTGTTAATGAAACAACTACTTATGGAGTATTTAAGGTTTTGTCCAACATGTACGAGAAGCCGTCCGCTTCCAACAAAGTGTTCCTCATCAAACAATTGGTTAACACCAAAATGAAGGAAGGCATGTCAGTTACCGCTCACATAAACGAGTTTAACTCGATTATCTCTCGTTTAGCCTCAGTTGCAATAAAGTTTGAAGATGAAGTACAAGCGCTCCTCCTTTTATCATCTTTGCCCGATAGTTGGTCAGGCACCGTCACAGCTGTTAGTAGTGCATCCGGCACTATTAAACTCACTTTCGAGAGTATTCGTGACTTGATTGTAAATGAAGATATCAGATGGAGAAGCAATGGTGAGACTTCTAGTTCTAGTTCTAGTTCTTTATTGCATACAAAAAGTAGAGGAAGAAGAAACGAAAGAGGACGTAGTCGAGGCAGATCAAAGTCTAGAAAAAGGGGGCAGTCCAAGAACCGAAAAGATATTGAATGTTGGAATTGCAAAGAAAAAGGTCACTTTAGAAACCAATGTCCAAAACCACAAGCTGAAAAGAAAGAAGTACACAATGTATCCTCTGAAGAATCGGGAGATTTTCTCATATGCTGTGTTGAGAGCTCAATGGAATCCTGGATTATGGATTCGGGTGCTTCTTTCCATGCTGTCTCATGCCCAGATATGGTCAAGAACCTACAAACAGGTGACTTTGGCAAAGTTAGTTTGGCCGATGATGAAGTGCTTGATATTACGGGTATAGGAGACGTAGATTTGAAGACCTCCATGGGAACCAACTGGACATTGAAAGATGTCAGGGTTATCCCAAACTTAAGGAGAAAGTTGATTTCAGTTGGAAAATTGGATGATGAAGGGTTTAATGTTCACTGTGGGGGTGGAAAATGGAAAGTGATCAAAGGCAACTTGGTGATTGCCAAAGGAAAGAAGAAAGGCACTCTATACATGGTAGAGATACCTGGTGATGGTGTTCATGCAGTAACCACCAATCCGAGTCCATCTAATTTATGGCACCAACGACTCGGACACATGAGCGATAAGGGATTGAAGATGTTGGCTCAGAAAGGAAAGTTTCCAGACTTGAAGAAAGTCGAAACTGAATTTTGTGAATCTTGTGTTCTCGGGAAACAAAAGCGGGTTACTTTTGTAAAAACGGGGAAGACACCGAAAGCTCAGAAGTTGGAGCTTGTTCACTCGGATGTATTTGGACCAACACCAGTTTCATCTCTAGGAGGCAAAAACTACTATGTAACCTTTATCGATGATTCAACACGCAAGGTATGGGTCTATTTTCTTAAAAATAAATCTGATGTATTTGATACTTTTAAGATATGGAAATCTGCTGTTGAAAATGAAACTGATTTGAAGGTAAAATGTCTGAAGTCGGATAATGGTGGTGAATACATAAGCAAGGAGTTTGTTGACTATTGTGCCAAGCAAGGGATAAAGATGATCAAGACGGTCCCAGGAACCCCTCAGCAGAATGGTGTAGCTGAAAGAATGAATAGAACTCTGAATGAAAGGGCTAGAAGCATGAGGTTGAATTCTGGTTTACCTAAGACATTTTGGGCTGATGCAGTTAATACTGCAGCCTACTTGATCAACCGTTCACCGTGTGTTCCCTTGGATTTTAAATTACCAGAAGAAATGTGGCAAGGGAAGGAAGTAAGTCTCAAACACCTGAAAGTCTTTGGTTGTACTGCTTACAGTTTGTTAAAAGATGGTGACAGGGATAAACTTGATTCAAAGACCAAGAAGTGTACATTCATTGGTTATGGGTCAGATGAAATGGGTTACAGGCTTTGGGATAGTGAGAGCATAAAGATAATCCGAAGCAAGAATGTCACCTTTAACGAAGCCGAGTTATACAAAGACAGAAACAACAAAAGTCCAGAAGATCAGAAGGAGTATGTTGAGTTTGAAGGTGTTGAAAAGAAGAAAGAAGCTCCAGTCGAAATCCCTGAATCTGGGGATGATTCAACTGACAGTGGGAGCTCAGGGGATAATTCCAGTAATGATTCTGAAGATGAAGAAACCAGTCCTCCAACTCCAGAGTCCCCAGTCACACCTCAAGTTCAACTAAGAAGATCTTCCAGAGTCACAAGACCACCAAACAAATACTCACCATCTGTCAACTACATTCTTTTGACAGAAAACGGTGAACCCCAGTGTTACTCTGAAGCTATAGGGTTGAAAGATTCATTGCAGTGGGAGCTAGCAATGAAAGATGAAATGAAGTCGCTTGAGAAGAACAACACATGGCACTTAACAAAGCTTCCAGTTGGGAAGAAGGCTCTTCAGAATAAATGGGTTTTCAGGGTCAAGGATGAACATGATGGTACCAAACGGTACAAAGCAAGATTAGTAGTCAAGGGCTTTCAATAGAAAGAAGGAATTGATTTCAATGAAATATTCTCTCCAGTAGTGAAGATGACCACTATCAGACTTGTTCTCAGTATTGTAGCAGCAGAAAGTTTGCATCTAGAGCAACTAGATGTCAAGACAGCTTTTCTACACGGTGACCTAGATGAAGACATTTACATGACACAACCAGAGGGTTTTTAGGATAAAGGCAAAGGAAACTTGGTGTGTAAATTGAAGAAGAGTTTGTATGGTCTGAAACAAGCACCCAGACAATGGTATTTGAAGTTCGATAACTTCATGACTTGGTTACAAGAGATGTGACAATGATCATTGTTGTTACATCAAGAAGTTTAAGGGTTCTTATATCATTCTACTACTCTATGTAGATGATATGTTGATTGCCGGTTCAGACATGTCAGAGATCAAGAAGTTGAAGAAACAGATGTCTGAAGAGTTCGAAATGAAAGACTTGGGAGCTGCAAAGCAAATACTCGGGATGAGTATATTCAGAAACAAAGATGGTACTTTAACACTATCTCAAGAAAAGTACCTTGAGAAA